CCATGTGGGTGGAACTTACAAAGTCATTTCTTTTTTCTCTCTCAAAGGCATGGTTTGCCCAAGTTCCTAAAGCCTTCATTGCCTTTTTCGCTTTTCTTTTTGTTATTTCTTAGTTTTGTTTCTTTAGTTTCTTATTGGACCACCTTACCATCTAATGGTTCTTCATGCACCAATATTATCTTCATTTTTTTGGTTAAATATCCACCCTTCATTATCCTTCCATTCTTTGATCTATCTTCATGAATTCTCCATGCATTTCCATTTCATCCACCTTATTTCTGTCCAATAGTCTTTTATGCATTCTCTCACATTGTTTCACATTTGGTCTCCCATTTAGCCAATAATATTACATGCATATACACTTATTTTCTTTTAGTCCAACATTGCCACCAAGTGTCTATCATGCATAAATCTTCTATGCTTTCTTTAACTAGTAGAATTACATGCATATTTCACTTTGTACATTTGTCTCCTTTCTTTTTATTTGTCATACGGTGGAGGTCCCATATGTTCCCTACTACAAGTACATCCTTGCATGCATATCTTTGCATGAAATAGTATTTGTTACATACATATTCCATCTTTCCACATAATCTAATTTTTCTTAATTAGTTAATTCCATATAACTAAAAATGGTGAAATTGCACATGAGTCCTCGATTTTCTCCTTATTTACTATTTGACCTTCTAAACTTTTTATCCTTGTCAATTTGGTCTTTTAAACATTTCATAAATTGCAATTTGATCCTTTAACTTGTTCATAATTACAACTTCACCCTTTTACTTTTCATTATTTTCAATTCCACCCTTCAACTTATTATTCCTTTCAATTAGGTCCTCTCATCATTCCTTTAATTCCAATTTCCTTCTATTTTTCTTCCTTTTCACTTGTACAAATAAAATATCAAACTCATACTTCACCAAGGCATCACTATAATATTTAAATATATATTTACCCTCTCTTACTGTATTTAATAAAAGCATACGGGCCCCACTAATGTCGTTTTTTTTTAAAAATTCTTTCTTACTTTTTCTCCCCCACTTAGATTAGCCATATAGTCTTTCTTCATGACTAATTTCAATAACATATGAAATATTAATATTTTAATATTATTTTATTTTAAAATTCTCCATTTGTCTTCTCGAGTCTCAAAGTGTCTCACTTTGTCCTAGTTCGCTTCCAAATTGTATTTTTAACTCGCTACTTCATTCTTGATAAAATATTATTATTTTTATTATTTTAATATTATTTTCTCACGTACGAAATATTTTATTTCAAAATATTTCTTTCACCTATCACCGATCTTTGACACTTAAATTAGCATTAATTGACCCTTCATCTTGTCGATATAGTCTTACTGACTTCTATATGAGGGTACAGGGGGTTACAGCGGTGTTCTTAACCTTGCAAACATATACATTTCCCCATTGCCTACTCGATGAAAGAGTTAGAAGTGTTCAAGTTCCACATGACCATGTTCCAATAAAAAGCAGTTAATGGCAACCCAAATAGGAAGGTTTCCTTTGTGAGGTTTGTGACTACAAGAGAAAGTGTGTCTGATGTGGAAACTGAAAGAAGATGAGGTTTGGTTACTACTAAAGCTAAGATTGCAGTATGAGATAGAATCAGAATTTGGCATAGCATGTGAATTGGCCATTGTTCGAGAAGTGACTTTCGTGTGCATTCTTTGCTTTAGCAAGATTCTCAATTTATAGAAACTTGGACTCCTTGGAGAGAAGCATGAAAAAAAAAGGCATTTAATACAAACACACACACACACATACACACACATAGCAATTTTAGTTTCGCATAACATCTAATATTGTGAAAATTCAAACAGACTTTTGTATTGTATTTAATTAAACCATTATATATTTATTTTAAACCAAATAAGACCTAATGACTAATGATTGATTAATTATTGTTAGTCAAAATGACGTTTATATTGTTCAATACCACATGAAGTTGGCATATCATAATGAATGATGGCGTAGTATCCTTATGTGACTTGATGATAAGATAATGTGAAATTTTCATCCTCCACGTCACCACCACATGGATATAAAATGACAAATGATATTTTGATTAATTACAACTAGAAGTGCAGATGCTTGATTGAGCACAATAGAAGAATAGAAAAATAAGAGTTTATTTGAATTTTTTTAAATAGTTCAAAGGTATTTTAAAGTATTATGTCTTTTAATTTTTAACTAATTTTACATAAATGATTTAATACATAAATATCATATTTATAATGATAAAAATAAAATTTGATGGATCAAGTTTTGATTCATCCACAATTAATTAACCTTTTGTAAGGTAAATATTTTCATAAGAGAAAATTAAAATTAAATCAATTTTATGTCTAATATAAAAATTTCTTTGTCAAAAACAATATACTATAACTAATCGAAATTTAGTTAACAAATTTTGAAATTATACAGGCACAAGCGAAAAAGCACATGAATTCTCAAAAATAAATATATTTAAGTAAAATTTTAAAATTAATTTTTTACTTAGTAACTATTTAAAAATTATTTATTAACCTATTAAAAATTAAATAATTATGAAAAATAATTGAGTAAAATTTTATAAATTATAAATAATTATAAAATGACATATAATTCATAATAAAAAACAAAATAAAAAGGATAAAATACACTTAGTTTTATAAGTTTTAGCCATAATTACATGCAGGTTTATTAGTATTCAAAATGTAGAGTTTACCCAAAAAGAATATTTTCGTTGGACATAGAAATCTTGCCGTTAGTCAATTATCAATATTTCTATTAGTTTAATTACGTGGTATTATTTTTAAAATAATTTTATCTTTTATTAATTTTAAAAATTATCACTATAGAAATTATAATTTTTTATTTTTAAAATTTTTTCTCTCCTATTCAAAAAAAAAATAATTCTCCCTACCTTGCCTCTTGTCGATCAGCCACCTCATAGCTAAATCTAGTTGGGGTGCTCCAAATTTGGCTAGATTGTTCTGCTCCAAGGGAGCGCCGATCTAGTGCTCCCTAAGGGAGTGCAAGATCTAAGGTATGCAGCCAGATCTCGTGCTCCCTTATGGATATTCAACTGGATCTAACATTCCACAGCCAGATTTGGATGCGAGATGGTTAGTCAATATAAGGGAATGCTATTTGTCGACCTAAAAAAAGAGAAAATAGTGGAGAAAGGAGAATGGTATCTTAGACATTTCACATTTACTCATTAATGTTGTTTATATATTTGATATGAACTATTTATTTTGAATATTAATGGATTCATGTGTAATTACGGTTAAAACTTGAAAGAATTAGTGTATTATACCCAAATAAAAATTATGAGTCATCATTTGCATACTAGATTATAATTATTCATAAGTATACATATTTTTAAATTAAAAAGTTTGAAATATGGTTGCATTTGCGTAGTAAAACGTACTCTCTCAATTTTGGTTTCTACTTCAACAATTTGTTTTCGTTTTACTTTGTTCTCAATATTATATGGGTTATTTGGAACGAGGAAAATGAGCTTGTCTTCAAGGGAAAAGAATGAGATGGCATAAAGATACTCAAGCTTATCAAAGTCAGGGTTGTATAGTGGATGAAAGCTAAATGATGTGATTATAATTTCTTTAGTCGTGATCTTTCCAGATTTCCAAATCAGGGAGTTGTTCCAAAAAAAAGTCGAGTGCCCAAGGAAAATGTTGTGGGATCTAGGAACTGGCAAAATTGTTCAGACACTCGAGACCCAATCACCTGTCACCATTTCTGAAGTGAGTCAGGATGGTCGCTATATAACCACTGCTGATGGATCTACTGTTAAGTTTTGGGATGCAAATCAGTAAGTTTTGAGTAGGACTACTTTTGTAGGGTCTGTTCTTTTGCCACCATGGCTGCTGACATTTGTAATTGTTGTTATTAGTTTTGGATTGGTTAAAAGCTACTACATGCCATGCAATGTAGAATCAGCTTCATTGAAACCAAATCATGGCAATAAGTTCATTGCTGGAGATGAAGACATGTGGGTCCATGTGTTTGATTTTCATACTGGAGAAAAGATTGTTAGGTGCCTCTTGATTTTGTGAGATGAGCAGCAATATTGATGAAGACTTCAATAATGGCTAATGCGATCATAATTTTAATGGCGTTTTGTCATAGCGGTAAGAGTTGTAATCATGTTGTGCTTTAATTATATATTCGTGTAGGTTGCAACGAGGGTCACCATGCATGGTCCTGTCCACCCTGTATGTTTCTCACTTGGAGGGGAATCCTACGCTCCAGGATTTGAAGATGGTACCATTAGAATATGGCAGGCAGGCTCGAGGAATCATGAATGGAATGATTCAGAACATCCAAATGGACTTAGTGGAAGAGTGAAGGTAGAGGTCACTGGTAAGATTGAGAGTGGCCTTCATATCAGCCGGGAAGGGGAGAGGGATAAGGCTACAAACGCATGACAATGACATGGTCTTAAGTTTGTGAAGGGCATTCTAGAAACAATGCTTGTTGGGCTGTAGAATTGTGGGTGTCAATTGCTCGTCCTGTCCATGGAAATAAAATGACTTTCCTTCCAAAGTTCCTTGTATCTTTTTTTTCTACTCCAGTCTTCGATTTGTAAGAAATCCAAGGATATGCACTTAAACGACGCCGTTTTGGGGCTTGATAAGCACCTCTCAAACGATGCCGTATTTTTCAATGCCGATATATATATATATATATATATATTATATAATAATAAAATTTTATATATATATATATATATATATATATATATATATATATATGAATATCAGAGCGTAGTTCCTCCCTTGTCCTGTTGTCCTTCTGTTCGCTCTCTCTTCAACTTCCTTCCCGAGTCGTCGGCCGTTGCTCACCGGTGCCGCTCAAGAAACGGCTCCGATTCTCGGTATCCCTTCTTTTGGGTTCAACATGTTTAATTTTGCTTTTCTTCCATTTTCTTTTTTTTTTTTCTGGAGAACGCATTTCGCATTTTCCTTTCATTTTCAAGTTCATGTTTTCTTGTTTTTTCTGTTTTATTTTTATTATTTCATTTTCTTGTATTTTTTCTGGAGAACCCATTTCGCATTTTCCTTTCATTTTCCAGTTCATGTTTTCTTGTTTTTTCTGTTTTGCTTTCTTTTTCTTCCCTTTTCTCTGGAGAACCCATTTTGCATTCCCTTTCTTTTTCCGGTTCATATTTTCTTGTTTTTCTGTTTTATTTTCTTTGTTTTCCCTTTTCTTTTATTTTCTTTTGGAGAACCCATTTTGCGACTTAATAAGCCCCCTCAAAATTTAAATGCTTATATAAAAATAGGCTCTCTCGCAACGTCCTTCCCTTTTTTTGCTTTCTAAGTTGCCGGACCGCCGCCCTCTTCATCGCTGACCGTTGTTCACCGCCACAAGACCTGCTTGAGCCGCTCTTCCGATCCTCGGTATCCCTTCTTTCTCTGTTTGACATGTTTTCTTGTTTTTCTGTTTTATTTTCTTTTATTTGTTTGCATGCATTTCCATTTTGGCTCTGATTCTTGGTATCGCTTCTATTAGAGATAAATTTATTTATAATATCAAGTATGATACCTACATTTTATAAATAGCATTTGTTAGTGGTTGCAATGGCATTAATATTCCTGTCATCGTTAACGCTGAAATTTTGAGTAGGAAAGAAAGTAGGACCGTTCTACTGTGCTTGAGGAAGAAGAAATGATACTGCCTTAGCAGATGCTTAGCCAACAAAATTTGAGTTTTAAACTCTCCATAGAAACTCACCTTGCCACACCTAGATAATTGATTCTGTAAAAGCCAAAATCAATCAAAAGGCTGCTTTGTCATTAATATAGACTCTATAAGAGAACAAAGGCACAACGTCTTGAATTTACAATTTCTTTGTTAGAATCTATAGGAACCATCTCTGCATCTCCGTAAACAAATTTTAAATAAAACACGAATTCGATCTTTGGAGAGGTGGTGCCTACAAAGTGACAGCTACATTCCGTTGGAATAACTAAACTATTTTCTGAGCTTTTACAACGGCATTTGTGCCACTCTTGACACTTGAATAACTTTCCATGATTTTCAGTTCTCAGGATTTCATCAAATTTATTGCTGCTATATCCAGCAGCATAAACCTTCCTAACTGTTGAAATAAGGTCCACAAACATTGATGCAACTGTATCATGAACGTCAGCTACTGTCCACTGGCTTCTATCTGATTTCAATTCTTGAAGCAGGAATTTTTGCATCAAACTAAGGAGGTATCTAGAGTGTTTGGATCATTATGTTTTGTATTTACCATTTCAAGTGATAGAAAGTAATTTGATAAAAGAGCTACTATGTGTGTTTTCATAGGTTATCTTTATAGGCATAAAAGGCTACAAGCTATACGATTTGGAGATGCATAATGTCTTTGTATCTAGGGATGTCATTTTTCATGAACCTGTGTTTCCTTTTAAACATTTGCAACAAAGAGCTGATTCTTATACTTCATTGCCCATTCTGCATGACACAGCTTCATCAACATTTGATTTGCTTCATTCTTTTAATTCACCTGGTGTCACTTTACATTCACATATTCATCCATTACATACCCGTCAAGAGCATGAAGTCGACGCAAGTAATTATGATTCTCAAAATACCATTTCCCCAGAAAACAATGTTTCTGAAAATAACGTAACCACTGATTCTATAAATTCTCAACTTCTTAGAAAGAGTAATAGCGCTAGAAATCCGCCAAAGTACCTTTTGCCTACCAATGTGATCTACCTTCTTCTCATTCCAATTCTGTTACTCATTATCCAATAACTAAGTACCTGTCTACATCACAGTTATCTACCTCTCATGAAGCCTTTACTTCTATCCTTTCTAATATATCTGAACCAAGTCATTATCATCAAGCTGTGAAGTATGCACAATGGAGAGATATTATGAATTCTGAAATCTGTCATATAATTTCCTTCATTAAATGAATAAATTTATCTCTAATACCTTCTTTTCTGTGTAACATGTTTTCTTGTTTTTCTGTTTTATTTTCTTTTTCTTCCGTTTTCTTTTATTTTCTCTGTTTCCTCCAGGTCTCTTAATCAACTGAGGCATTTTTGCAGTGTTGACCATCCACCTATGTCACGTATTCCAGCCGATCTCATTCCCGACATACTTTGTCGACTTCCCGTGGAGACACTACTCCGCTTCAAATGTGTGTCCAAGCTGTGGGCATCCCTAATAGATAGTTCAGATTTCGCCCAACTTCATCTGCATCAGTCCTTGAAAACCAACACCAATTTCAAGCTTGCCCTTGTTAACAATACAACGCAGGATGCGAATGCTTATTCAGTGGACTTCGACTCGTCATGCAACTCGGTGTAAATCCCTCACCCGTTTTCATCTAAGAGATTCCAACATCGATCTATAATATTTGGTTCCTGCAATGGTTTACTTGCTGCATGCCATAATATACAAGGCGCCATTGCTTTGTGGAATCCATCAACCAGAAAATGCCATTATCTGCCAACACCCGGTGATGATATAATGGATCATGATATAGTACCTAGACATTGATGTTATGACAATACAGTACTTGGATTTGGGTATGATGTCCGTAACAGTGACTACAAGGTGGTTAAAATGCTCAGATCCAAGACCCGAAATTGCTTCAAAGTTATGGTTTATAGTCTGAAAGCTAAATCTTGGAGGAGGATAAAGGATTGCCCTTATGACCATCCTCGGGTTTTTGTTGACGATGCTTATGTAAATGGTGCCCTGCATTGCGTAGGGGATGAAAGAGGCAAATTTTCTGGAGGTAAATTGATCCTTGCTCTTGATCTTGGTATTGAGGAATATTATGTGGTTCCTGAAGGTGACATAAGCTCCAGGAAGGAAAAATGTGGCTGTGATGGTACAATTTTCTCTTACATGAATGTGGGGGTGTTGGGAGGATGCTTATGTGTTTTTCGTTGGCACACAACTTGTACACCCCTTCATCTAAATTTATGGGTGATGAAGGAATATGGAGCCGGAGAGACTTGGACTGAACTACTTAATCTGTCACAACACATATGTCCGATAAATGTGATCACCACTAGAGCTGTAGCATATTCCAGGAATGGTGAAAAAATATTGGTAGATTATAATGGAGGTACATGGCCTGTTTGGTTGAATCTGGAGAATGAAACAAGGGAGCGTCTCCTTAGTCCAGGGGGACCCAGATGCCGATGGTTTTCTACAGCGATATATGTGGAAAGCCTTGATTCTTTCTATTAAAAAACTGATTCAATAAACCTTGTTTAGCTTGTCATGCTTGGCGTTTCACCTTGAATAGTAGCGTCTCAATGGAAGTCTTTTTTTTTTTTTTTTTGAATCTTGAAAGTCTTACCTTGCCTTTGTTTGTCCATTCTAAATTCTCCACAAGTTAAGACTCAAAGCCTTTTTCTTCTTACTATGTCCTCTACAATTATCCAATTGCAATTTGGTTGTTCAGTTGATATATAGTCTAGTCTAGATGGTTGTTATGATCTTGTGTGCATTATGTATACAGAATATCTTTTGTACAGGCCTTTCCCTCAGGTTGCTAAGTGATCTCTGTTGATTTGTGTGGTCTTGTATGATCCCATAATAAGCAGCCTGGTGTTTTGGTAAGGACATCCTTGCATTGCAGTCACACTGGAGGTATTTTGCGACCATTGAAGTGCTGTCCGACTGCCTGAAGGTAGTTTTTTTTCTTGTTCTAAATTGATGATTTATTATGGCTAATCGCATTCCAAAAAATATTTTGAAAACATAAAACATGTTTGGCAAAGATAATGTTGCTTCATGTTGGAATTGTTGTAAATATAAGGGTCCGTTTGGTATCAGGGATGTATGCCACATTCCCTGCAATGTGACTTATTAAATTACATTGCAGTGTTTGTTTTGTAACAGATCACTGCAATGTAAGATTGCAATGCAATCACATTACATTACACTCTGCAATGTTCTTAAAGACAATTTTACCTTTCAACTTTATTATCTTATTAAAAATATTTTATAATATTATAATTAAAATAAAATATATAATATAAGAATAAAAATTAAAATAAAATAAAATATAAAAAATTAATATTTATATAATATAGATAAAACAAATTAAAATAAAATATATAATATAAAAAATATATTAAAGAAATGAAAATAAAATATATAAAATTATAATAATAAATAAAAATAAAATATATGATATTAAAAATATATTTAAAATATGATATTATATAAAAATTAATAATATATTAAATTTATATTTTAATAATTAAGGGTAATTTTGACAATTAGTATTACATTTCCACTAAAGTACTTGTAAATCAAACACTGCAAAGTTATCTTCCCTGCATTTTAATCATTATTTTACTTACATATCAAACACTGTAATGTTATTTTCCCTGTAATCGCATTACTTGCAATCACATTACCTGTAATCACATTACATTGTAATACCTGTAATCACATTACATTGTAATGTACCAAACGCCACCTAACAGTTTTTTACGCATAATGAAAGTTTTAAGAATAAAAAATAACAAAATATTAAATAAATTAAATTAAAAAATTTTAAATGTGGATATTAAACAAATATTATTTAATCATGTTATGGTTTAATATAATTTAAATAGCATAATAATTATATAAAATATTAAATTATATATAATTATAAAATATTAATTAATTAATTATTGAAGACTACAATTCTATACCACATTAATTGATCTGATTTAATATTACTTTATCACATGATATCATAATAATTAATCTTATTGCAAAGTAATGTTATTTAATATTAACAGTTTCATAATATCAAATTATTTAATTTTAAATAAAATAATTTCATAATAATTGTTATAGTTTTAATATTCTATGAATGAATATTATTCAATTATATAATGTTATTTTAAGTAGTACTAAATAACCAAATAATATTATTAAATTTCTTATACTGAAAAACATGATATAATCTTAAATCATTTAATATTAGATTTAACTATTCATTAATAATAAATAATATAAATTTATAATTTATATCAATTATTAAATTATTTTATTGAAAAATATTATTTCATAATGTACTACTTAATATTTTTTCAAATATATCTAATATATTCAATAAATCCGTATAATCTTACAATTGAAGTGTTGTGACAGATGTTGGAACTCATTATATATAAACTTTATTTCATAATCTACAGCAAGTGTTGTACTATTATTTTATTGGTACTCATTATGTAATTTGCTTTAAAACTTTATATATTCTAGTACAATAATTTGTCTTCAAATTATTGAATGAATAATACATATAATAAAAATTATTTAAAAACGTAATAAAAAATATATCCCTTTCTATAAACAGAAAATTTTACCAACATAGATAAATAATGCACCATTCCAGTGAGAATACCAGCTGCTAAAGAGAATAATTAGTTACATTTAACGCAAGAAAAAATGTGCATAAAAAGGGGGTCACCGTTACTTAATGCAAAATGCCCCAATCAACAAAAGTAGTGCAGGGCCTCAAGGAAACATGATGTAAATGGAAACAAGATTATGTACACTAGCATTGTTTCTTCCATGACCCATCTCGTCCCCAACCATTCTAGTTTCTCTTCAGGAATCTCCTTTTGGAAATACCAGGAAGACAACAACAATCACTACGAAGCTCTCTTAGCATACTGCCTCTAGAACTAGACCTGCTTTAACTAGGATGCAGACAACCCAGTTGCAGAAGTTCCTCGGATAAACCCAAAAACACATTCAAACCTACAGGAAATGAACTCAAATAAGCAGCAGTGATCATTAGGTGGAGAAAACATGTACATTTTGAGATCGAATTCAGAAACATAATTCAATTTGTGATCTATCTAAAACTGGTTACGCAACTTCTTCATCTTTTTTTAATAAGGAAAATAATTTCCCAAAGAGAAATTCATATCATTATTGGTAACAACATTTGGGGTATTCTAATCTTAAACCTAATAGACAAGTTGAAACAAAGTCTACAACACCCGAAAACAACATACCAGTCTGACACTTTACAATCTCTATACAGAACTAATATCTATGCAATGCAAGGAGCGATGAAGAAATAAAAAAAGGGGAAAATTAATGGAACAGGCACAGTTACAATTACTCACAAAAGCATGGAGAAGAGGTTTGGTCTGGAAATTTTGTCACGATCGTTTTCTGCTTCGGCTCCCAGGACCAGCATATGTCCTCATACTGATGGGCTCAGCTGAATTGTGCAACTCTCTCTGACCAACCAAAGCACTTCCTCGGAATCCATGAGATGAAGCATGAAGAGGAGAACTTGGCCCACTCCCCCTGAAGGCTCCAGTCTCCAAAGTTTTAGCTTCATCAGTCAGCATTGCTAACTGTTTTAACAAAAGTTGTTAAGTCTCCAAAATAAATTTCATATCAGAAAGAATTTGATGATATCATAAACCAGCAAAGAGAAATATAGCATTGATTGTGTCTATATCCAAGGACCACTCAAATAGAATAAGATCATATTCCACCAAGCATGCCTTGTCCAAAGAAAAAATGGAAAGCAATACTCCTATCCAAAGCGCATCAGTCAGAGAAGTAATCTGGACAATTCTTTGACAAAATTGGTAAATGGAGTTTGCAAAAAGTATGGGAACTTCCCCAAATATGACAGGTAAGCCAGTCTAAAAGTAAATTTAACTTTTATCGGAGATATGTTAAAATTAAGAGAACCTGCTATACCAAACAACTCAGTTTCATTCTGTACCTGAATTTCATTCTCTTTTAATCGATCCTGAAGTGCGTTGATGGCAGGACTTAAACTGCAAATTATAGAAAGAACATAAGTACAAACATAAAAGCAATCACAAATGATTAAAAGAGGTCTTCATTTGTTTCAAACCAGTATTCAATTAACTTGCACATGGACGCCTGATATGTTGAAGTGTGATGGATAAAGGAAAGGGGATGCACTTTGCCGTCTCTAAGTCAAATGAAGCAAGTTAGAATTGGTGATAAATGATAAGTTAAAATTAGAAAAATAAAAATACTTATGAATGGTATACTAAATTCAGATTAATAAAACCTCATATTTTGCAAGATGGCTTGGTTATATGCTGCCCGCTCCTCTTCATATAGTACACGTTGCAAATCCGTAAATGACATTAATGGTGAGTCAAGATTAACAAGAGAAGATGTTGGCAAAACATGAAGAGGAATTTCTTTCCTGACATACTCTGCACCACTGTCAGCCAAAAAAAAAAAAACAAGATGAGGATTGCTCTATACGAACTCCAGATAGAATAAGACAAAATTGATTACCAGATGAAAATGCACCAGAAAGATATATGCAACTGCAGGCACATGCCAAAGCACACATGCATGCATGCGTGCGTTTTTGTGTATATGCTAGCCAAATGATCTCCTTTGCACAAATTCAAGATCTCTGAGTGACAATTCCAAAAAGGTATCATGAGATCAAGTACATACTCATTTATACCTCATGTCCATGTTTGAGCGGTGCATGGCTTCTTGCATGCTTTCTGACATATCCATGGGGTCAATATCAACAACAGCATTCTGTATATTACTAGCATTATAGTTTCCTCCGCTTTGCTCTCTCCCTAAATAGTTGGCATCAGCATTAGCGAAGAAACCTCCCAAGTCAACAGATCGTCCCCCACCCTGGGCCAATTCCATATGCAGAAACATTGAAAGAGAATCATAAGGAAGAACAAGCATGAAATATGACGCAGAGAATAAAAGCATGAAACAAATAATAAGTACAACAACAAACTTAAGAGTGGTCACCACTCTTGTAAAACACATTGTTTAGATACCCAGCCATTTTCACCACATTAGTACAAATGAAAAATAAATACCATATCTTACCTTAGGATAGTTCTCCAAAGGAAGCAAAAACCTCAATTATAATTTAAAAGCTAAATGTATTGCATTGCATTCAAAATGTTCTATTCCCAGCAAACATACAGACAAGACATTACAACATTGTTTTCAAGCAACTAAGCATACTTCAATTAGGCTTTCTCCTACATAGAAGATAGAAATGGACCTTGGTTTATTGACCTTATGGAGTATATGATCTTAAATACAGCACAATGGTGCAATACTATCTACACAGCTGATCCTGCATAGTAAAAAGGTTCAGTTTGTTGTTTTCTGTTATAAGCTTTCTTCTCCGCAGACAGACAGCAGGAATAGCCCAGTGCTTGCCTTCAAGTAAAAACCTTTCTCATTTTTTCCAAAAACATAATTCCTTAGTGAGGGATTTAGAGAGACCACTAAGAGATACCATATACTAGAGACAAGTTAAACAAAGTAATAGCGAATCTAAACAATAACCACCTCTTTTATGCCAAGCTAAAATCAAGTGCAGCATACATCAAATATGTTCCATTCCATTACCTAAAACATTCCTTATTCCCTCTTCTTTTTTCTGGTTTAAGAGCCCTAATATTTAATAAGATATATGACATATTTTAACTTTGTAATCAGAAATGGTACCTTATTGGATACCAGAGTCAATCTGGAATCACCAGTGTCTTGCAGAGGACTATCTACTTTTGCAGATCCCAATGTCACTGATAGATTTTCAGAAGAACTTAAAGATGACTCAAGATCAATGACTGAACTTCTATTCACTGGAGATAAAGCAACAGGTCCTGATGCATGACTCTGCTTCCCATCCGATGACTGAAAAGCAATGACTTGGATTCTTCCCACCTGAAATTAACAAAATTTTATTTTGACCTTTGCAGGGTTAAAAATACTTTTATAAGATGAGTTTTAGTTTATCTATCATCCACGAAGCACTAACCTTGTTTGTATCTTCACTAAAACAAGAAAATATTAGTCCAATAAATCCAGAATCTAGAAGTTGATACATTGCCTGAGTCCTCACATCTGCAGAAAGTAGGGGATGGGAGATACTTTTAAGTGCCCAGCAACCAATCATAAATACGCAGCTATCTAAAAAGAAATAACTATAAGTAGTCTTCAGTTAAAATAAATGGCCAATAAGGTCAGTTCAATACTTCAGAATTCCAATTGTGCTTATAGCAGAGATTGATCACAACAAATGATAAATCCTCTTCTTTAGAGCCTTGTTTCACAACAAGCAAGCACTCTAAGCTCAGCTACACAGGTTCAAATTTAGGAAGTGTGATTCCACACTTGCTAGGTTTAAACTTACAGCGAACAAAAATAAATAAAGCATCCGAATTTGGCATTTAATGGGTTAAATTTAAAACACAGCCAATAAAAAAGGAAAGTGTACCAGAAAATTGTATAACTTAGACATGCAAAATGGCTAATCATTCTTCCATTCAATAATTCATGAGACAAAATAGTAATAAATTCACTGAAGAGAATAGTGAATACTACTTAGGATTTTAAAAATTAATTGAATGTGAAGTGAAAATTTTCACTTAAAACTCGAAGAAAACAGCACAGAAAACTGAAGCACTTTAATAAACATTGTTTTCAATTCATAAAAAAGGTAATAAAAAATCACATCAGTCTCCTAGCTATTTTGATGTAGAGCTTCAAACACACAAATATATTTCTCTTGGAAAAAAGATGGAGCAACAAATTAATTTTGCAAAAAGAAAACTAAAGTTCAAAGCTTACCAACATGAGAAGGAAGAACTGTTATATGAGGATGTGAATGGTACCACCCAATCACTCTTGTTGTTCTGCCAGTTGATGCCGTCATTCTGTGCCTTGAAGTTAATTTCACAACAAAACTAACAACCTCGGACATATCACCATGCATCAGAACATGCAAAAGATATTTATATTCAAAGTTATAGCAGCTCTACATTTTCATGCCAAAGGGGTAAGAAGAGCATTAATTTTATGTTAGCACTTCAATGACTTTCGGTGAAAGCAGGTAAGCAGAAAAACTATCATGCCACATTAAACATCACGGGCAGATTTATAACCATAGCTTCACATAATTACACAAATTATTAACTTGATACCACAAATATGTCATATTGCACAAAACAAATAAACCATTTCTTTTTGACACATATTAACAAATTACAAGGTTTGAATCATTACTAAAGAACCACAGCAAATGCCAAAGCAAGCATCTTGAAAATTAACTTCTATATTGTAATGAAGACCAAATAATTTTAAAACAAAGATGGAATAATTGCACAAAGATTAAGGATATATCAGCTTGAGCTGATGCAGCTGCCAACTGTTCAGGATTTGTCTCTACTCGGTCCTTCCGCCGATCTGATCGTGATTGCGGTGATGCTCCCCATATCAATGCAGTAACATTTCCATCTTTTGAGTACTAAAATTTGCAACATGTCAACAAAGTATCATAAACAGGGTCACATAAGAATAGGGAACAGAAAAAGACCAATGAGAAACCATCATATTAATACTCTGTAATACTCTTTGGTAGGAACCAAAGATTACTATGATCAGATTGTTCATCAGTTATTGCCTGTATACAAGAGTTTCAAGTTCCTAGTACAGTATTTGAGTAAAAGTACAAATCAGATGCAAAGTTCCACAAAGTCAAAATGAACGAAAAGGTGGATACGCTTCCAACATTATTTTTGTGAAATACATCAAACATACATTTGAAGCCATGTCGAACAAGCCCCAGTACAAAGAACGCCAGAACTGGAATGTCCACATCAGCGTGAGGGAAAAAAAACACAAGTATTCAAATAAGCTCGACACAAAGAGTAAGGTGTTAACTTCTTTAGCTAATCTGCACTAGCCAAACTGAACTAGAATTTGTTAAAATCACAGTTCAGTAAACAAACAAAATACCTAAGATGTAAACAAATTCTCAACATCTACAAAGCATTTGAGGCTCCAGTAGCAACAAGACAACATTGTTAATTTACATATATACAATTTAAGTGGCGTGAAATAGGACATAAATTAATCGACTTGACAACCCCAAATGACGTTGAATCGAAACAAGAAATTTTCAAAACTAAAAACTTCTCTTTTTAATGAAGAGGAATGAAGTAATAACTAAGAACACCAAAGTCTACACGAAATCAGGGAAAACTAACAAAGGCAGAACCCCAAAATCCCATTCCTGAAACCAACCAGAAAAGCACAAAAAAAAAAAAAACACCAATCAACTTCAATTTCACTCTCAGTAAAAGCATAGAATGTGATAAGGAAAAAGATAAAAATGAACTTTGAAATCAAATATAACCTACAACATATGAATGAATGAATGAATGAATAATAAAAGCTAGTATTTGCAACTTCAATTCTCCTCTTACTAAAAGCACACAAGTTTATAAAGAAAAAGAAAAGGATAAAACTTGAATTCGAATTTAACCCACAGCAGATTACCAAGTAGAATAGAAATTGGAAGAATATAATCAAATTTTGACTAAAATTTCAAAAACCCATATCAGCTAACAATTCAAAAAATCCAAGGTATTTCACAGCCAATCCCCATATCAACATCAGCACCATATACGAATTACATTACGAAATAATCCCACAATTAAAAGTCAAAAATAAAAAAGGTTGGATTTTGAGACAGGAGATTTATGTAAAAACAATCACTAAAAAAAAAAAACCAAACAAACCTCAATATCGCCGAGCAGAAGACCCATGATCTCTTCAGTTTCAGTAGACAATGCATGCGTGAGACAAGTTAACCAAACATCCTCAGACATTTTCACACATGTTAAAGACATTTCTGTTTACGAGTACACCACCAAAAATTATATAGATAAATTTTCTTATCTAAAAAAAAAAAACTGTCGTCTTCTTTCTTTTTTTTTTGGCTCTGCTTCTGGCTCCTATGAAGATCTTTGGAAGATTTTCACTTCTCCGAAGAGGCTTCTTCTTTCTTTGGGGCGAAGGGTCTTACTGGACAGGAAAGTATAAAGAGGAATAGAGTAGGGCCAGTTGTAATTTAGTTGTTGACAACCATAAAATCTAGACCGTTGGATTTCTTACATTAAATCCATTCCTTTGGATTCCTGCGACCTTTTTGCTTTTGATGATGATTCTATATTTACATTTCTTTTTCTAAATTAAAATCTTTATTCTTAAATAACGGTAATTTTTTAAACTTATTTTTTGAAAACTAAAAACTTTAATCCGGTAAAACCCAAAAAGGCCATTAAAATTCTTTAAAAAATACTTTAATCTCTCTTATTTCAAAATAATATTTTTAGTCCCTTAATTACTAACATCATTAGTCAATAGTTAAAAAAAATTATAACCAATACTAATAAATATTTTAAAATACAAATGTCTTTTTAAAAACACCTACTCATGCTTGCTTCTAAAACTTAATAAAATTTATTTTGATATTAATAAAATTAATATTTGACAAAAAAACTTAAATTTTCATAAAATTCTAAAATGGTATTTGTGAATGCAGTAATTTAACACTCTTTAATAGTTAATAAAATTCAATATGTGACTGAGAAGAAAGAAATTTAAAATTTTCCAAATATAGTAATCAAGTCAAAATTTTTTATGTCACCTATAAACTTTAGTCTCAAAGAACAAATTTTGAGTCAAATTATTTCAATAAAAATTAAAAATCACAAATAAAAAATTAATCTCTTAACTTGACACCATTAAATTTGAAATATCCATCATTGAACAAAATATTTACTTTTTAATTTTTTTTTAATAAAAAAAGTTCTCAAACTGTTGAAAAAATAAAAGGTTTAATGATAATAGACTTTACTTAGAAAGAATTTATGGTTTTAAGGCAGATACAATTTCAAATTTTCAAGCCTTCAAATAAAAATGTTTTATGTTTTTTTTATTAAGGTTTTTAAGGGACTGATGAGCAGACTTTTCTCAAAAATATATGTTTAAATTAAAAAAATAATATAAAGGTTATTTATATCTTTAAACATTTATATAATATTAGGTCTAATTTTTTTAACTATTGACTACAATATTAACAATCAAAAGACCAAAAATATAATTTTGAAATTAAAAAGACCAAAGTATCCTTTTAAAATGTTTTGAGGGGCTTTTTGAATGTTACTCTATTTTAATACATGTCAATGCAATATCAATGCGTACATGATCCCACATCACAATTAAATTTTTAAATATAATGTTTTAAAAAGTTCTTTAACTATTTAAAAAATGTTAAATAAATCTTTATTCCTTTATTAGGTTCATTCAAAAATTTATAATTTTATTTTGAATCAAATAAGTACTTATGACTAAACCTTGACTGGTTGCAACTATTTAAAATACTACTTATCATTTTATACTCGCGTGTCTTAACATAACATTGACATGATGTAAAGGGTGAAAAATACTTAATAATCATGTCATCTTGTCACATTAGTATGTGATATCATCATCCATTATGACATATTAACCTATCACGTTAAGGTTATATAATATAAAATGATAAGTATCATTTTAATTATAAAAATTTATTTAATTTAAAATATAAATATAAAAACTTAATTAAACAAAATAAAAAATAAAAACTTATTTAAAATTTTTAAAACAATTTAATAACATTATTTTTTAAGTTGGATATTATTTTTTTTGTAATATTTCATGTTTTTATCCTCTTTCTTGGCTTCTCACAACTATTATGTCTTTACCAAGACTAATCAAGTTTTGAACAAAGCATAAATCATGACGCAAGGCAACCAAGCCATAACATAAATATTTTTTCATTAGCTGCCATTCAACGATCAAATTATTTGGAACACACTGAACTTTCTTCAACAAATACAACAATATCGAAACGTACTCTTTTTAATCTCTGTTCTATTCCCTCAGTTCAAAAAGAAACCCTTTTTCCCTTTTTGAAGATCTCTTATCCAAGAATTGATCAAAGTATTTTTTTTCCAACTAAGAGTTGCAAGATCTCACGCTGTGTTATTTTGAGATTTTTTAAAATTTCTTATAGTTCTACAGTATTGTGATTGTATTTGTTCATTTGTGCTAAATGATTAGGGCTATCCTATTAATACAAAATTAGAATCTTTGTGTAATTTATTTGTCTATTAGGTTTCAGTAGATTTGTACCTTATCATTTAGAGACAAATATTACATCATTTTTTTCAAGGCAGAATGTCATGAGCCAACCTTATATAGAGTTATGATAGGATAGAACTCTTTTGTACCTTAAGGGGAGATGTCCCCCTTTTAAACATTGTAATAGTACTTGGTGACATCTCTAGAAATGCTTGCTAAGTCTTTCAAAGAAGACTTTTTAGGAAAAGAATTGTCCTTATCTCACGTATTGTAACGACTCTTAGTGAAATACTTGTAAAACTTTGTAAACTCTTTATAAGGGGTTAGCAATCGACAAATTGTTGGATTGCCTCACTAGTAAAGGTATGTCTATAGAGAATCATCTAAAGTTGTCCCTATAGCCCAACAATGGCTTGTTTGATCCCTTTGTACTTATCTTGATATTAATAAAAAATTTTCTTTATATGACTTTAATGGTTGCGTATATGACATTCATTATACCTTATGATTTCGATGTTGCGTTGCCTTAAACCAATTTATGGTTATTATTAAATGAATTATTGGTTGGCTTATATGAAAGTGTCCACTCAAGCATTGCATGGATTATCACATACTTAAACGAAGGAGCATAGTTCGTGACACATAAGATGAATAGTACTTATTGAATTAAAAAAAAACTCCTTTTGTTATAGCAATTTGAACAAAAATGGCAATGGATCATGATAACAGAGCTTGATTTCTTTACAGGGAATTGCAATAGTTGAGCTGGATTTTAGTAAAGTAAATGCATTGGAATTTGCAAATCACCATTATTGAATGGTAGAAATATTTCATTGTCAATTTTAGCTCCATATATTGCCAAGTTAATAAGGTATGCTGAGTAGATTACTTATGGAATTTTTTTTAATAGTGCGCATTTTATTGCTTTAATGTTAAAACTAAAAAAGGCTTGAGACTTTATTTATATAAAAATGAAATAGAAAAGAGAATACACCCTTGTATATAAAACCTAAAGTTTGGAATATATAGGTATTTTCGCATAGTGAGTTAAATGTATCCACACTAATAGCAAGATCTTCTAGTATCTCTTCTTGACATGCCTAGTCCAAACTAGAATAGACTCCAAACCCTGTCCAAATCCTAATATGGAAAAAGTACTAACCTAAACGTCACAATGGTATTTGAATTTGTTAACTTAGTAGCTTTAAAATGATTATAGTTTTGAAATGACAAAATGATAAAAATTACTTGAACATATTTGATTGATCCTTGAACTTGGTTGAATGATTCTTGAAGTTATTAAACTCTCACATACTTACTTTTGAAGTGCCTAAAAGCTTGACCAAGTTAATTATGTGAGTATCAAACTTTTCTTGAATAAATGTTTTAAACCTCCCTTGCATATGCTTTTGAAATGTTCAAGTGTTTAAGCTCAGAGAAAGGTTCAAATGGAAGATTCTTGCATGTTCAAGCTAAAAGGATTGAAATTCTTGTTGGGAGAAGGGTTTAATCATGCCATATCAATAGTTGAAATAAAAACACAATAAACATGAATATAAGAACATTGTGGAATTGAAACTAGGAATCGACTCTCCTCCCAAGGTCACTTTCATTGATTTTTGGATGATTTACAATATAATATATCGAAGGTATGATTTAATCATTTTCTTAAGGACAAAGAAAAGCTAGTTTTCTTATCCTAATAACACCGGTTAGCCTTTGGAAAGTTTTTTCACCAAGCTTGTTTGTTGCAAACCAAAGTTGTTCAAATGCATAACCTCTAATGATCATCCACGTGATGATTTTGAGAATCCCTACATTAAGGTGGGATTGCTAAGCCATTTAATGTGCTAGTAAGGGAGTGTTCACAACACTTATCTCTTTGAATCACTTTTGCCAAAATGTTAGAGAGGAAAATTGTTTTTCTCTCTTACACACACCTAGAGGGGGCACACAAGTGGCTAGCTTTCCCTTTTTACTATATTTTTTAAGTGTGGCTTATAGATAGGTATTTATACTTTGGTCCAACTTCTACCCTAATTAGCTTTTACATTATTTTCATGTAATTTGCTAATTCGTCTTTGCACTTAATTGAACCATTCAGTTAAGTTGTTAATTGGTCCTTGTACTTAATTAAATCATTTAATTAAGTTTAATTGAAGTTCATAACTTCCAATTTTTGTTTAAGTCTAACTTAATCACTTATCCCAATTTAATCTCAATCATCATTTTTTGTGTGTGACTCATTAGGCTTCTAACTTGTTAGCAAGGGAATTAAATTATAAACTTAATTAATTAATTAAATTCCATAAACCAAGATTGTTTTCTAACAATGCATCATGGCCGCCCAAATGTTAAAAAAGTCATGATGGTTTGACTCAATCTTTTAATGATCAATCTCTCAGTATAATTCATTCCTTCATCATATATTCGAAAGATGATAAAAGCATGGTGCAATATCTACTCTCGTAGATCTTCACATCATTCAAAATTGAGTTCATTAGCTCTATAAAGACTTATGAAATGCTTTTCATAATCTCTAAGTTGCCTTGGCCAAGGACTTCAATAAGCTAGTATCAACTGATAACTATTAGGATATGTCTTTTTAATCACTTGAGGTAATGATTCGTATTTTGAACATTCATTTGCCTTCACATGCTTCATGTTACAACCAACTATATCTTTTTTTGGCATCCTTGGTAGAACCTATAGGGATATAATCAAATATATAGTACTCTGTATATAAGACAACCTAGTATCTCAAGTTTAAGGAATAGTTACACGACTGACACAAGAGTAGTATTGCATAGACACTAAAGTGAGATGCGAAATGCAGTTCTCATGTCTGGTCATGTTCAGTAAACTTGCTCTCTCATGGAAAACACCTACATT